TTGATGCAATTCTTAATCTGAGTTTGAAATGTCTTAGGAAATCAATTATTGCCACCCCAAATGAAAATGAACTCCATTATATTTTCCCCCTCAGAAGCTTTGTGTGAAGCCATATGTGCCACATCAAAATAAGCATTGCTACATTTACCTGTCCATGGTTATAGGCAGGGTTGTCCTATTAAACTCCCATGTTATGACTGCAGGGGGGTTTGATGAAATCTTGCAAGAAAATCTAGCAACGCCCCCTTCCTGGACTTCAGTAGAAACTGGATGGACTTCGAACGCAGAAATAGCTGTGACAAGATTGGACAAGTTTAGAATCAGCACATAGCGGCGCAGTCAGCAACAGCATTACACAGCACAGTTCACCAGATCTGAACTGTGAACCTGAGATCCTGCTCAGGTCCACAAAGATGATTTCATGAACACTTGGAGAAAAAGCGGGGGACACACACACACACACACACACACACACACACACACACACACACGACAACGACACGGGACTTGGCGAGTCTGTCTTTCCTAGTATTTAAAATTCTAAATACAGTCTTAGGAAACCATCTATTAGAGAGAAAACAGACGTAACTGAAGGAAAAATAAGGGCTCAAAATGGTTATATAGTTATACACCCAAAGGTAAAGTACAAGCCAAATTCTACTGGTTATCAGAGGGAAGGGAAGTAAAGACGAACTAGGGCTGGAGAGATGGCTCAGAAGAGCAAGCATTGCTCTTGCAGAGGAGCTGAGTTCGATTCCCAGAACCCATACTAGGCAGCTTACAACAGCTTGTAACCCTAGCTCTGGCATGAGTGTGTGCACGCATGCACACATACACACACACACACAAAACTAAAAATTAGATTTTTTTCAACTGTAATAAAGACAAACTATCCAGGTCAAAACTATTTCTGTGAACTGGCTTTTGAAGAATCCAATGAATTCTGGAGAAAGTGGAGAATATATAATTTGAGGCAGGAGAGGCAACCTAACAGCAGCGCAGATTGAAAGGATGGCAGCCTGTGTTCGCAGGATGGAGGAAACCAGAAGACATCTATCATAGGACTTTTCACATGAACCCACAATGCCTCAGGATGAACTGAGGAGTCCCAAGAGTCCCGCGGGCTTTAAAGAGGAACGGAGAACCAAAAGACTCTGGAGTGCCACACACCAGCGCCGCCTCTCTGGGGTTGCTCGGGTGACGGCAGGACAGGGAACTGTTTGTGCGGGAACCCAGGGCCTCCCAGAAGCACAAAGGCTGTCTTCAGGCTCATGCATTTCCAAAGAGGAGATAAATCCTGAAGTGCTGAGGTTTCTGGAGTCCATTCTTGGTCCCTATCCTAAGAGGCCTCCAAGGAGCCATGGCCAGGGTCTACAGTCCTGCATGCTGAAGGAGTGCAGACATCACGAAGAGCCCGGTGTCTCTTCCCTCAGCTAACCTTCCAAGACACAAGACGGATCTGAGCATGCGCGAGCTCCCTTCCTGAGACTCCAGTAAAAATGCCTTCGGTGTATCGATAGAGACAGAAAGTAGAAGGAAAAGTATGAAAAAGTGGGGCCTAGACTGATTCTCCATGACACTGGAAAGGGCAAAAGGTCACAGAAGGCTGCCAAATTCCACCTTGGGCTCGGCTTTAGTTTGCTGTGGATAGTTTATTGGCCTTTAGAGGTACCGGGCTATAGAAGTCAAAATATTCTCAGAAGGATTTACTTTCAAAACATTGGCCAGAGGTAAAGTCATTCTTCATTTGTGTCAGTAACGAATATCTCCATTCCTGCAGAACAGCAGTCTTCAGCCTACAGATACCAGTAGATCCTCAGAGTAGAAACTATTTCCAAAATAATCACCATTTGCTGTTTTGGTTTTCATGTCTCTTGAGTGTAAAGAGTTTTCTGAAAGCTACAAGCTGGGAAGTATTGCCAACAGACCCAATCAACGCAGAAGCAAAGGACCACTGTGCACACTCCTGTTAAGCAAAGTGAAGGGATTTATATAACTACAAAACAATACCAGGGCTGGAGAGATGGCTCAGAGGTTAAGAGCACTGACTGCCCTTCCAGAGGTCCTGAGTTCAATCCCCAGCAACCACATGGTGGCTCACAACCATCTGTAATGAGATCTGGTGCCCTCTTCTGACATGCAGGCAGAACACTGTATACATAATAAATAATTTTTTTTAAATGTATCATCACAGAATTCCTCCTTTTCATTTTTTCAGTTAGGGGCTGGAAAGATGGCTCAGTGGTTTAAAGCACAATGCACTGCCCTCACCGAGGATCTTAGCTCAGTTTCCAGCATCCATGTCAGGTGGCTCACAACTGACCTCTGAGAGACCTGCAAGCATGCATGCATGCATGCATGCGCGCGCGTGTGTGTGTGCGCGCGCGCACACACACGCACGCACGCACGCACGCACACACACAGACACACACACACACACACCCCAAATTCTGCCTTTACTCCCAGTACTGGGGAGGCAGAGGCAGGCAGTTCTGAGTTCAAGGTTACCCTGGTGTACACAGTGAGTTCTAGGCCAGCCAGGGCTATATAGTAAGACCCTGTCTCAAAGCAAAAAGTAAGTGTGGGCCTGGGGGAGATAGCTCAGCTGTTAAAAGTGCTGGCTGCTTTTCCACAGGACCTGGATTCAACGCCTAGCACCCACATGACAGCTCACTGCTGTATGTAACTCACACATATAGGCAGGCAAAATACCAATGTACATTAAATAAAAATAAGTAGTTATTTTAAAAATAAAAAAATTAAAGATAAATATTTAAGTCAAATCTTTCAATTGGTAAGCTTAATTACTGGACGGATGGAATGCATGTATCCTTGGTACAGCAAAAGAAAAGGATGTAATGGTTAATGCCAAATGTGTATATATTCTTCTTGACGGGGTACCGTCAACAGGCTAGGTGGGAAAAGCAGTTTGGCATCAATTACTTCAAAACCAAACTCTATTTAAGCAGTCACTTTTAAATTATACAAAGGCACATTTAGCAGCCCTGGACACTGAAGCCAGGGATCTCGCACACTAAGAGAGAATGTCACCACTGAGACATGACTCAGCCTCTAACGCTTCCCATAAATTGCTATGGTTTGGCTATAAAATGCCCCCCCAAACAAAAAAAAAAAAATGTATCTCTGTTCTTAAAGATATTCTATAAAATTAGCGTACAAAGGAGCCAATTTCCATGAATCACACATTAACATCAACCCTACTGTTCACATGATTACGTGACTCATCTTTCCAGTGCCCAGCCATGTGGACTGGCTCTGAATTATACAATAACAGGCCACATTAACTGACTCCTAACTGGAAAAATATTTTAATCCTATTCATTTCAGAAAACTTTTAGACAAAAGTGATCCCTCCTAAGTTTTACCATTCAACAAATATTTGTCTGGTGTCTGGCGCACCCTAGGTGGCCATAATCCAGTGAAGGACAAAGCCAGGAGCGTTACATTCAGGAATCTAAGAGGAGACAGAGGTATTTAACCAAACCGCGTGTAAGTTGGTAGCTCAAACTTCAGTAAACGCTGGAAAGGTAAATCCGTATAGAATGGGACAACACAGGTTTCCAGCCTTTTCTGACATCATAGTTTAACATACGTTTTGTTGCTAGGTCCCGTTCTGTGAGTAGTATATATTACAGTTTATTTAATTCCCCAAGCTGTGTCATCAAAATATCCAGCTGAAAAAAACTGAGGTACGGGGAAAGGAAGCGTCTCACTCAAGGGCTTCCAGCCAGCTAAGCGGTTGGCACTGAGATCCCAAGCCTGGTAGTTACCAAGACTCTGAATTCTCTTGTAAGCCTGAGACACTCAGTTTTTAGGCAAGATGAGAACCAGAGACTCTCTGCCTCAGACTGGCTGTCTAGCTGGCTGAGAGCGTGTGTCAAATCCCTGAATTTCTGACCAGAGAGATCCCTTTAGAACTTCTGCGTAGAGCGCTTACCCAGCGTGGACAAAGCCTGCAATCCCCAGCCCCATGGCAAACACTGAACAACTAAAACCTTGTGCGCACTGACATTGACTAAGGCTATTATTTCATCTTTTGCGTAGGAAAGTATGTAAACTAAGTTATAAAGTTTATTTAAGGAGCCATATATCTTTAAAAAAAAAAATACCGAGTCAGGTATGGTGGCACACACTCCAGACCGCAGATGGAGGGTTACAAGCTTGAAGGCAGCCTGGTTCCAGGCATGGCTTCTATTTTGATTATTCTTTTTCCATTTTTCTTGTGTGTATGGTGTGTACATTTTTTCATGCATGTGGACACACATATATGCACATGCAGGCCGGAGGTGGCTGTCTGGAATCATTCTCACTCTCCCACCTCAGTCCCTGAGGCAGGGTCTCTCAAACAGAATCAGAGCTTGAAACTGTGGCTAGTCTCCCTCGGCACTTCTGGGGATCCCACTTCCTCCTCTGAGGGCTGGAATTCCAGGAAGGTTGCCGCCCCGACCCGGCAGTGACTTGGGCTTCTGAGAATCTGAACTCTGGTCTCATGTCTGCATGGTAAAGACTTCAGCCTCTGGGATGGCTCAAGGAGCCATCTCCCAAGCCCTGGTTATTATTTTTTTTTTAAGAGGGCATTAAGCTGAATAAGTGAATGCTGGGGTAAGTGCTGAAGCCTTCTAAGACTTCATTGTGGGATCTTTTCGTTGTCCACATTTTTTTTTTTGCTCTTTATTTAAGTGACAAATTTAAGTATCCTCTCGAAAATCTCAGCTTCCTTCCTGATGTGGACTTTGTTTCTTCAAGAAAGGTCCGCCTTTACAAGCCCACAGCCTCCTCGTGAAACCTGACCTCCCTCCACAGTCAGAGCTAAACAAGCCAAGAGCTTCACAAGGAGCCCTTCAAGGAGTGCTGTTAAGAGGCCAGAGCTCTATAAAACAGCCCGGACACAAGGTCCCCCCAAAACATGCGCTGTCCTCAAAAACAACCTTGCAAACACAATAAATGTAAGTGCCTATTTGATTTGTGATTTCCTCTTCTTCCTCTGCCCACTTAATCATTTTTCATGATTTACAGCCAGGGCTGTTAACACTGCTCAGACAAAAATGGTCTCCAAACTTGTACGGGATCAGAAAGCAACTTATAAATGATTCTATACCAGAAATGATGTTCCACTAATTAAGTGGACATACCAACATTGGCTTGCATATTAAGTCAGCAGGACATTCATGCATCTTAAAAGCCAGGCATGGTGGCAGAGTGCTTTAATCCCAGCACTCGGGGAGGCAGAGGCAGGTGGATTCTCTCGGAATTCCAGGCCAGTCAAGGATAC